GGCCGGCCCGGGGGACGCCTGCGGGGACCCGGAGGCGCTAGGCCGCGCTCGGAGCCAGTGACCCCCCCTCCCCCGACGCGACCTCCTCCCGGGACCCTCGCGCGTCCCAACAAGTGTAACGACAAAGCCGGCGGGAAGGACGACGCGGTGTCCCTCCCGAGTGGCGGCGGCCGCGGCCCCCCGGGGAAGCCAGGCGCGTTGACCAGGCCCAGTACCCGGCACGGCTCGGAGCCCGCCCGCTGGCTTCGATCGCTGGCACCCGAACACCCACGGCCCTTCCCCGAGCCCGGCGAGAGGGCGATCCTAGGGGCCGCCTCGGGGAGCCCCATCGAGTTTCCTTTCGCCGGGGCGCTTGCTTATTTACACCGGAGGCTGCCAGGAGACAGGCGCCGCCAGCGGGCACCGAGAAGGACCCGCGCCCGTCCTTCCGATCTGGTGGCCACAGTGACTATAAACACGCGACAATTTTTGGTTTAAATGAGGCCCGACTCTGGCGGACCTGCGCCCGCACACTCGACTCCTAGGGCGCATGATCACTCGGAGCAGGTCTCTGGGTCCACGGAGCCACCTCCCCGCTTCTGCAAATCCAAAAGTGAAATTAAACCTCCACCAACCTCCTCCTCCTCCTCCTCCTCCTCCCGCTCAACCTCCTCCTCCTCCTCCTCCTCCTCGCAGCCTCAGCAGCCCCAGTAGCAGCAACAGAAGCCGCTTCCCCTAAAAAATCTGAGGATCCAGAATCGCGCCGACAGTTTTCTCCAAAGACCAGTATTTATGAACCCCGGCATTATGTATATATATGTACATATAGATAGAATATATACCCCCACACACACAACCTTCTGCAAAACATCGTGTCAAAACATCAGGACGCGCGCACACACACACACACACAAGCTCCTCCAGTCCCCAGAAACATGCCCAGGAGAGAAACAGCACGCGCAGTCACAACTATTATTTACCCAAAAAAAAAAAATGTTACCTCTCAGTGTGCTGCTTTGTTTTTGTTTGTTTTCACGCTACCAATACAATCCCGCAAGGTTTAAGTGTTGCTAGGGTGTGTGAAATGGAAATGAAAGCCCGTCAGTTGAATAATCGCAGGAGCAAAACTAAAAGTTAGTCCCCGGCTTGCCTGAGAACGGTCCAGATCGAAAGCAAAACAAGGAGAGGAAACTGCGAGGAGCGGCGGCTGGAAATCCCCCCACCCCCCGCCCTCCTCCCTCCCTCCCTCCCTCCCCCGCGCCCCCCTCCCCCGCCCGCCTCCCGCCGCCCTTCCTCCCCAGTGTTTGTTTCAAGCTTGTGCAACCGGGAGGTGGAGGCCGCGGGGGTGCGGAAGTTCGCCGCCGCCGCTCATTGGCCGGCCGCGCCGCTGTCATCCGTTCTCGGAAAAAAGTCAATTTCATTTTCACTTCCCCACGTCCGGGAGCAGCGAGCAGCCGCGCGTGAGTCTGGAGCTCGCCCTCCCCTCCCCCCCCGCACCTCCCCCTGTTGCCCCCCCCTCCCTGGGGGTCCTGGGGTGGCGGGCGCAGACGTGGATGGAGACTTTGGGGGCCCGTGGGAGGCGGGAAGGGAATAAAGGACCCTCCATCCTAAGAGCCACCTGAACGGAGAAAAGTGCGGTCGGGGGGGGGGGGGCTCCTTGGGGAAGCCCAGGGGCGCTGGCCATCCAGTGGGTAGTTAAGGGGTGTTTACAGCGTCTGTGCTTGGTGATCAAGAACTCGGTGTTTTGGAACACAGCCTGCCTCCCAGGACTCAAGTAGCAAGCTGTTGAAATGACAGGATTCCTGCTGTCTCTGCCCTACAGGCAAGGACCCTGTCTGACACCCCCCACCCCCACCCAGGACGATAAGAAAGGCCTGTCAGTCACCGTCCAAAGGCTGATGGTCCACTGTGCCACACCAGGACCATTAGTGCAGGATGAAGGCCAAGTTCAAGTTTGGCCTTCTTAATTTCCTAGCTGGGCATTCTTAGGCCTGTTTTCCATTCTGTCCAATGGAAATAGATGAGAGAATGAATACAAGATCCTGCACAGCACATAGGCCGGGGGGGGGGGGGGGCGGCCACTGTCATCTGTTATCCCAAACTAGCACAACTCGCTTGGGGTCCACTCCTTTCTAGATCACTTGGTTTGAAAGTATAGGTTGACATTTAGTTCTAGCTATTTGTGTCCTGATTTAGAGTTTCATAAGCTTTCTATGCCAACTTCTCTACACACTAGAGAAAGTCCTTCCCTGGAGACCATGGCAAGCTATATTATAAACATTCCCTAGAGAGAGAGATGGCGGATATATATATATATATATATATATATATACATATATATACATATAATATATATCTGTCATGGAAATGCTGAATTCTACTGACCAGAAAATGAAAAGTATCTAAGTTATGCAAGTGGCAAGGAAATAGCTGAAGGTTTAGGAAACTGTCTTGTGGCTATGATCTCAAAATAGATCCCACATTCGCACATTGGTTTTTGTTTCTTCTTTAATAACACTTGCTTTTACAGTTCATATATCAGTAACCATAATTATATACAAACTATAGGATAGCTGTCACTCATCAAGAGCAAGAAGGCAGAGCACTAGCCTAGAAAGCTTGAAGCCTTATGTTCAATCCCCAGTCCTGGAAAAGAGAGAGAAAGCACCTTGTTTTTCCTGGAGGGAGAAGGAGATGGAGAAAAGGGAGGAATACAAGGGGTTTTTGTTGTTGTTGTTGTTATTTCTTGCTCATTGCATGCACAAGACTCTAATTTCACTTCAGGAGCCTCCAGGTGGAGGTGCTGGCCAGCTGATACTGGCTTTCTGGAGTCCATGACAGGTAGCTGCCTCTGGTATGAATTAGGAAGGGCCAGACAAGGCCATGCCTACAGAAATCTGCCCTGCATCAGATTAACCTCCTATTACTATGCAGGAGTGTGCTAGAAGCTAACTTGCTGGGTACATAAACCTTCACAATAGTTGACATCTCAGACAGTGTCTGCTGCTTCTCTAAGACTGTTTTTGCAGTGCTGAGGATTAAATCCAGGGTGGTTCTTTGTTTTTGATATCTTCCTGCTCACATTACACATCCAGTCAGTCATATCCTATTGCTTTGTGATACTATGCCCATAGTCTCTGGACCTGGTCCATCCCTACAACTCTTCTTTCCCGTATTGCAACTATTAGGAACCTTGCTTCCAGTCTACCCCCTTGGGCTCCTTCAGGCCAGTGACCACACTGTTATCCAAGTTAAGAAGGACAAAACCTCTCGGTAGCTTTCAAAATAAAGACCATATTACTTGACAGGATGCCTAAAGTCCATTGTAATTTGCTGGCAGGCTGCTTTTCTAACTTCACCCCTGGCAGGCCCCCCATCTCTCCCTTTACAAACTAATTGCCTCCCTTACTTCCTGTATCTTTGTTTTATCCTTAGCCTGAGACTTAGCAGTACATAGGCTCTCGAATATGTGTGAATAGTCTTTGCTCATTTATTTAACTGCTTATAAAATATTTCAGATTGTATCACAGGATTTGTTTTATATTTTAACAATTTTTTCATGTAAATGTAGCTAATATTAATTTGTGCAGAATTCAGAAACTATAGAAAAGTTGAAGGCAGAAAATATGGCTAAGTAGGGTACCAGTGGCTCATGCCTGTAATCCTAGCTACTCAGGAGGCTCAGATCTGAGGCTCCTGGATCAATGCCAGCCCAAGCAGTAAAGTCCATGAGACTCTTCTTTCCAATTAACCACAGAAGCTATAAGTGGCACTATGGCTCAAGTGGTAGAGCGCTAGCCTTGAGCAAAAAGTAGCTCAGGGTCAGTGCCCAGACCCAGAGTTCAAGCCCCCCCCCAAAAAAAGAATGAAAAGATTATTATATAATTATATAATTTTATATAATTATATTAAATATAGTGTATATATTATTATATATTACATATATTGTACACATAATTATATAATATATTATTGTATGGAAATAATAGTCCTTTTGCTTGGTAGGCAGAGACAAGGGATCACTAGTTTTGAGGCAAGCCTGGTTTACAAAGTAAGTTCCTATCTCAAAAAAATAAAGACTGAGCTGAATGTGGCAGCTCACACTTATTAACTCTAGCTATTTGGGAGGCAAATATAGAAGGATCATGACTTGAGGCCAGCCCAGACAAAGTTACCGCGACCGTATTTCAAAGAACAAGCCAGATGTGGTGGTATGTATTACAAGCTCAGTGAAGCAAGAGACATAGGTAGGAGATTAGGGTCTGTTGGGCAAAAAGCATGAGTCCCTATCTGAAAAGTAACAAAAGCAAAAGGGGCTGGGGACATGGCTCATGCTAGAGGACTTGCCTAGTAAGCATGGAGCTTTCAGCTTCAAACCTAGTACTGAAAAAATAGTTGGGACATGAAGATATACCTTGGTAATAGAGTGTTTGCATAGGGTGCAAAGCCTGTGCTCAATCCCCTTAGGAAGCAAAGAAGGAAAAAGGAGAGAGGGAAGGAGGAAAGCAGGGGAAAGACTAGCCATCTGAAATCCTGCTATTTGTATGTATTTCCTACTAGTAATCTTTAAGGTGTCTGTACACAGGATACTAATGCTTCCTGTGCTTCCTGCTCTCCCCAGCCCTATAGCCTTCTGTCCTGTTCTCTTTCTTAGCTCATTCTTCTTTTTCTGCCAGTCCCCTAAATTATGGTGTTTCCAAGCATTCTTTCCTCAACCCTCTTATTTTCTCATTCTCCATGCTTTTTTTTTTTGAGTACTTTCATCCACACCCAAAGCTTCAAATATCATCGCAGTTCTCAATTTACAATCCTTCTATTTACAATTTTCCAATCACACAGTGGTGAAACAGGCATATACATTTACTAGAAACCATACTGCAAATGTTGAATGTTGATCTTTTCCTGGACTAACAATAAGTGGTAAGATACTCAGTCCCATTTGAGGGAATCACAACCTCTCTGTCAGCCAGAAGATCACAACAACCCATAACCCACAGTGGATTAGTTGCTAAGCAATGATGTTCCATAGGCAAGATGTATCAGATACACTTTCAGAATACAGTATTTTCAAACAATGGGTTTACTGCAGAAAGTAACCCTATTATAGCTTGAGGAATGCCCATATTTGATGATAATTTCAAAACCTAACATCTGCCCTGGACACATTACTTAGTAGACATTCCTTAGATGATAATGATGAGAAAGAAGAAACATGCAAAACTAAACTCTTCTCTCACAACTTTGTATTTGTCACTTCATTGACTAACCAGGAAAGTGAGAGACAACAGACTTGCCCCCTTTCCTGAACCTCTGGAGCTCCCCAAGGCCTGGATACTGCTTACAATTTTCCAGACCTCCAAAACCCATAAAATATAGAATGAATTTCACTCTGTTCTTAGGCCTTTGATGACATGTCACAGAGCAAAGATGTAAATACTCAGAGGCACAAAATATCCACATGGTATTGTTATGCACAGTCCAGAAATATTTCTTAGCTCTTTGAGAAGATGCATACAGTCATAAATCTCTGTGGGGAAAAAAAGAACCAATATAGTCAGCTATCACCTTTATGTAAGTCTGTGGATAAAAGTACCAGTTGCCATTCAAGTATGTTTATCTAAACAAACATTTAGTCTAATATAAAAATTTAGTTGAGCTATCTTATTAAGTGAAATTGGAATGTCTTCATGGGTCAAGCAGTGTGGAATGGAACATCTTAAGAGACCTGGATGCTTAGGGATTACTTTATTTTCAAGGGAGTTGGGGAAAGACAAGGATATTTGAACAAGGTATCGAGAGATCTCTCCATGAGTGGCTCTGTGCTTTCCAAGAACTTTCCTTACAGTCTAGTTGATTGATAACATTAATTTCTATAGCAGCATCCTAATAATGGCAAGAATATCAACTCTGCCTATAATCGCAGCCTTCAAAATTATTTGTCAGATTGGAGTTAGAAGGTTAGATTTGGGTTAGTGTGGAGTTAAGGTTAAAAAGAAGGAATTGTAATTAATGTGTGATGTGCTAGCATATTAACGAGAAGGGTATTTGTAGCTATGATTAACCAGGGGGCTCACTTGCCTGTCAGTTGCTGTTCCTTGCTCCACAGAAACACTGGGATTCCTTCTGTGCTGGCCTCTGGGGTTCTCCTCAATAATACCAAAACTTAGGGGTTAGACAGTCATGGAAAATGAGCAGCCACAAAGCCCTGTAAAATGCTAGCCCTGTATTGAAAATATTACTGTGAAGTCCAAATTGAATAAAAATAGAGCCAAGTGAAACCCTAGTTGAAGCCATAGAGTAGATGAAGTTACAGAAACCTTTCATCAAAGTTCAGGAGCCATGAACATCATTTGGAGAAATTTTTGAGCATGTTTGCCCATTGCTTCCTATGATAGTTCATTCCATTTTACTAGAAACTCTGAAATGAGAGTTTTCCTGTTGCAATTATTCTTTAAAAATCATCAGTTTATACTGAGAAGTGTGTTTCCCAATCCTTAGTAATAAATACTCATCCTGCTCTGCTCTGATGAAAGGAACTGGGGTTTTGTTTTTGTTTTTTTAATTGCCAGGATCTCATTATTCATTGTAAATTCTGGGGTTGGGAGGAAAGCAAATTTTCTTTTCCAAAGGAAGATTTTCAAATCTGAAAACTTAAGGATTTGGGGGAGGGGGACACATAATTTCCCAAATGGCTATGAAATACTATTTTTCACTGTGAGGATAAACTACAGTGTTGCTATTACTTTGAAACGTGAATGGGAAAGTCTCTGTAGTTTTATCTTGAAATGCTTCAGAAAGAAGTACTAATAATTTTAGGGACTCTAAACAAAAATTTCAAATTTGCAACCTAGATTCAACAAACCGCTGGACTCCCTGGTCACCAGTACAGTTGAAAAAAACTGTGTTACATTTTCTGCTGCTTCTCTGTAGGTTTCTTAGGCCTTGCATGAGAAGCTTGAGGCCTAAGGTGTGTTTTCTTTCTCCTCAAACTTTTAGCATTTTGAATGATACACTTTTCTTCTATTAGACAATGTTTGGAAGTTTGCCAATAAAGAATACTGAATAGTGCCATAAAAGAAAATGAGTATTTTCTTTAATTCCTTCACTTCCTCCAAGTGTCTCCACTTCAGTCCTAAGTATGGGTGACAGTTCACACATACAAGCTCTTGGGGCCACCTCCTTTGCCTCTAGCGCGCCTCCACCCGTAACTTCCCCCAGATTGACCCAGCACCATAATGGTGTGACACCCTGAGGCCTGCTGTCCAGGTCTTGAACAAAACAAGATCTCTGGGCTCCTGCAACTGTCTCACTATGGGGGTGAGGGCAGCAGAAAAGTCAGCAGACAAAACAATAATTATAGTTTATTTTCCTGTACAGAAAATAAACAGTATCTTTGAAAGAACTGTGTTGCTTAGGTAATCAAGGAAGCTTGCTCAAGACTAGAGAAAAAAGAGTTTCTGTATTAGTTTCTTCAACTGCTGTAACAAAGTAGCACAGTTCGAGTAGCTTACAGGCCAGAAAGTTACCACTGAATAGTTATGGAAATGGAGGTGTCTATGGGTTCGGTCTCTCCTGAAAGCTGTGCTCTCTGCCTCTTCTCTGCTGATGGGTTGGCAGAGGTCCTAGGTATTATCTGGCTTGTAAACAGATCACCTTGATTTCATTTTGGAGTTCACAGGATGTTCTCCATGAATGTGTGTGAATATATTTCCCTTGGTTTTAAGGACACCTGCTATATTGATCAGCTTGGATTAGAAGCCCAACTTACTTCAGTACAATGTCATCATAATTAATTGCCTCTACAAGGACTGTTGTTTTGCTTTATTTTTTTTCAAATCAGGTCACTTTCTCACGACATCAGTATAAGAATCCCATGAGGGCCGGGTGCTGATGGCTGATGCCTGTAATCCTAGCTACTCAGGAGGCTGAGATCTGAGGATCGCAGTTGAAAGCCAGCCCAGGCAGAAAAGTCTGTGAAACTCTTATCTCCAATAAACCACCAGAAAACCAGAAGTGGCGCTGTGGCTCAAGTGGCAGAGTACTAGCCTTGAGCTGAAGAGCTGAGGGACAGTGCTCAGGCCCAAGAGTTCAAGGCCCACAACCGACAAAAAAAAAAAGAATCACATGAGGAAAAGCAGACTCATCCATAACAGGTAGGCCCCCGCAGAGGGAAGAGCAGGGGCAGCTGCTCTAAGAAGCACAGAGTATGGCATGTCAGAGAACTGGCAGAAAGTGTGGCTTCTGAGTGAAGACAGTGTGCAAGCAGGCAGAAGTGAGGAGTTTGGAGTTTATTCTACAAGCAATGGGAAGATTTTGAAGGGTTCCAGAAAGGATCCACCTGTGGTTCTCAGTGATCCTGCTATACATTTCCAGCAAAATACAAAGATTTACCTTGTAGAATTGTCAACAATTCCCTTCCATTCCAGGACAAATTGACTGAGAAACACAGCATTATTTCATTATATTTTATTTCATTTTTAAATTTCTAAGTCAAAATGTTTATTCCCCCCCTTAATTTTCTCTGTCAATTTCACATCTACAAATAAATAATTAATGTCAGTAATGCCTTTTTCTTTTTTTTGTCCGTCGTGGGGCTTGAACTCTGGGCTTCGGTGCTATCCTTGCGCTCTTCAGTTCAAGGCAAGTGCTCTGCCACTTGAGCCACAGTGTCACTTCAGTTTTCTAGTGGTTTATTGGAGATAAGAGTCTCACAGACTTTCCTGCCCAGGCTAGCTTTGAGCCACAATCCTCAGATCTCAGCCTCCTGAGTAGCTAAGATTACAGGCATGAGCCACCAACACCAGGCTTAATTTCAGTAATGTCTTTTTATACTCCCTCTACAAAAAAAAAAAAAAAAAAGACTTTCTATTGAGGAGGAGGAGGAGGAGGAAAAAGATTCACTTAACTGTGGATTTTAGGCACAGACAATTTTCATCAGACTGTTTTGAGTAACTAATGATTTTTCAGAGATTATGTTGACATAGACTCAGCTTTTATTCCAAAATTGCAATTATTTCAAATCTATTTCATTGAAAATGACATAAATTATATTTAAACTTAAACATCATGTTTTAACTATTTATGCTATTCAACTATTAACTGTTTACACTATTTGAGAAAGATTAAGAATTCAAGAAATCTATAAGAAATAATCTTTTCTAAGTGTAAATTTCATTTCACTTATATGCTAATATCAATTACTGGATTCATAGCAGTGAAATTCAAATTCTTAAATGCCAAACATGAATGAGGACTCTAAGGAAAAATATCAGCTTTTATGCTAAGTTCTTTCCTTTCTTTCTGGTACTTTCATATTCACTCAGCGCATTGTCTATTTTTCTTACCCAAATCCCATATGTAACTAGATTAATAGCAGGCAGAAAAGCAGAGTATCTCACTTAAGGGAATGGAGGAAAGGAATAAAGATAAGCATTTCCTAAAATCTAAAACTTTAGGAGGTATATTCTCCTTGTGCCAACATGAATCCTACTCCAGCTCTAAAGCACCTCAGCCTTGTATTAAGGAGTTCTCCTTCATTACTTTTGAGGACCAACTTGGCTTCCTTCTGGGAGGCTAGTGTACTCCAGGAAAGAAAGTAGGAAGCTGCTATGGATCTGCTCTGCTAAGTATATTCTGAGAATGGAATGCTGTATGCATTTCTGCCCACAACCCCAGTTTAGAAGCTTTGGGAAAAGTAGGTGCTTTCATTTCCTCTGTACCTCTTCTGAACATGAATCATTTGAGCATTGAACAATTGAACAATTACATTGAACAATCATTGAACAATTACAGATGTGCTCTGATTTGCATGTGCTTTGCCTTTGGCCCTCAAAGGTACATGTGTTACAAGCGTGGCCCCCAGCTTAAAGATTCTGTCCCAGGATCTAAGTGGTTAGACCCAGTAGAAGGTGTGCCATCTTCAAAAGGACTGATGTGATGCTTGTAAGACCCAGGTAGTTCTTAACATAGTAGGTTGTCATAGAAAATAAAACGTGTATCCTCTGAAGCCTTCTAACTTCTACCCATGCCATTTGTCATCTTGTGATGCAGTCAGAAGGTCCTCACCAGAGCTGACAAGATGCTGGTGCCATGATCTTGCATGTCTAATCTGTGCGCTAAATAAACATTATTTCTTTCTAATACCCCTAGTGTTAGGTATTCTGTTATCACCACAAAAAGCAGACAAATACATATAGTGAACAATGAAGCTCAGCAAGGACTGCACCAAAGGAATGGCTTAGGAGGCTTCCAGCAGGTACTGGGATTTGAGCTCTATCTTAAAGAATAGCTTAAAAGCAAATAGTACAGTCGTTAAAAATATGTTTGTATGTATATCATCAATTATTAATACCTAGCCTTTAAAGACCTTGACAGACCTTTTAAAGCTTTTAAACATCTGCTTAACCCAGAGAGATCACCAATTCGGTCCTATGGTCCCAAAACAGTTATATTTTTAAAAAACCAAAAGGATTTTGCTGGATTATATATTCAAGATACTGGTAAAGATATGGAATCTTTTCAGTTAAAAATTGGGCATGGGGGGCTGAGAAGGTGGCTCAGTGGAAGAGTGTTTGCCTTGCATGCATGAGGCCCTGGGTTTGATTCCTCAGCACTACATAAGCAGAAAAAGCTGGAAGTGGTACTGTGACTCAAGTGCTAGAGCACTAGCCTTGAGCTGAAGAGTTGAGGGACAGTGACCAGTCCCACGACCAACCAATAAAAAAGAAAAAAAAAGAATAAAAAAATTGGGCATGGGAGGAGAATCCTAGAAACAACACGTAGAAGAAGCGTATGTATTTAGCAAGATCTCTAAGGCAGCTTTTCAGCCTCTGAAACTATAGATTGAAAACTGTTTCCTTCTGACATTTCAACTGACTCCAGAGGAATGAAAAGGAAAAGGTGAAGTCACCAGAGGAGTGCCTACAGACATGAATTCCTGACGTTCTTGGGCACCCATTAGTGGACAGGGCTGTCATGAGGCTGGTACACCTGTTCATGGTCACATTCAAGAGGCATGGAGGAGCAGCCTCAAATTATTCCTTAACTCAGCATTTAACTCACAAGTTAATTAGGTGATGTCTATTCCATAATACCAAACATCTGGTGAAAATTAAAGAAAATGTCTTACATCCAGATGCTTAGCTTATGATCATGCAGGCAGAACACTTACCTGAACATGAGAATAGTTTTTACTCAGATGATGGAGGCATGCATTATAATTCAGCTCTAGCTCTTGCTCAGGACCCCACTAGTGTCCAGACCTCCATGAAGACTCTGTAGTGAAGGCCTTTGTCTACCAGTCTGAGTGCAGAGGAGTGCTGTGACTCCTGACTGCCATCTGTGCAGGGCAGGTGTCTTCTTGAACCGTCTGTATAAATAAACCTGAAGCAGAAAACAAAACACACACACACACACACACACCAAGTGTGTTTTCAAAGCAAAAGTAAATCCAACAATCTTAGTAGAAAAAATTTTAAGCTATTTCATGTGGCTCAACAAAATGCGAAAGCTGGTTGTGTAAGTCAGTTCAAGTCCAAATACTTGAGAACCTAGCAAGATGGGTATCCTTTAGCACTTCAGGCTGACAAAGTTAGCCATCATCTATATGTTTGTGTATGTACATGTTACACATACATATGTATATATGACAGAATGAGGGGGGTAGATATTCACAGAGTCATGAATAAAACTTAAATGTGCTGGGCACCGGTGGCTCATGCCTGTAATCCTAGCTACTCAGAAGGCTGAGATCCAAGGATTGTGGTTCAAAGCCAGCCTGGGCAGGAAAGTCTGTGAGACTAACTTCAATTAACCACCAGAAAACTAGAAATGGTGCTGTGGCTCAAGCAGTAGAGTGCTAGCCTTGAGCTGAAGAGCTGAGGGACAGCATTCAAGCCCCACAACCAAAACAAAAAACAACAACAAAAAAAAAAACATTTAAATGTATGTCTAATTCTATTTACTTTATCTGACTCATTTTGTTGTTAGAATAGCCTATTTTCCTGAGTCTGGTGAGAGATTTGAACCAGGCTAAGTATTCTCAGATTTGACCACCAAAAAAAAGAAAAAACAAAATTGCATGGAAATGAATACTCACTGAATAGAAAGTACGAGCCAAGTACTCTGTTGGATGCTTAAAGCACTTTATCTGATGGGTTCCCTTGAGGATGGAGATCAAATTCCTAATTTAGTATTTCATCCTCTTCACCCAGTCTCCAGGAACAGGCTCCTTACTGGCACGTCTGCTTCCACTTTTGTTTCCACTTTTGTTTTGGTGCTCAGAGGAACCAAAGTGTTACTGAAATATACCATGCTACTTTTCACTCATGCTCTTCATATAGTTCCTGTAGCAATTAGGATAAAATTCACATTCCCTCCAATGGTTTACACATCCTCTGCACATGATTTACTTCAGGCCTACCTGCCTAATTTCACATTGGACTGTAGGAAAATTCTTTTCCCTGCCCAAGTATGCTTCAGAACAAGGGTCAGCCCACAGTTGCCAACCAACTGCCTATTTTTATCCAGCCCTTGAACCAAAAATGGTTTTTATATTTTTGTATGGCTAAAGGAAAAAAATCAAAAGAAGAACAGTATGACACTTGAAAATTATATGCAATTCAAATTTCAGTCCATAAATAAAGTTGTAATGCAACCTAGACATGCTTATTCATTTATGTATTGTCCAGGATTGCTTTGGCACTAAAAAACACAGAAGAGTGGTTGCTACCACGTCTGGATGGTCCAGGAGCTTAAAATATTTACCAGTTGGCTCTTTACAAAAGAAGTTTGCCAATCCCTGCTATGAGCACACACTGCCCTCCTTTTTGCTCCCCAAACTCAACTCTCCTGAGACTTTCCATTTCCTGGTCTCTCTTCCTGGAATGTTCCTCCCAGTTTTTTTGCATGGCTAGTTAACTCTTATAGGTAA